TTAATTAGATAATAGCATTATGTCAGTGCGCTGTCTATTTCTATGTCAGCTTTCTGGTCTGACTCCTAAACTCCTAAAAAAGCAAGGACTGGGTTGCTGTGACTCCTTGGGTCATGTCCAGTGCTACCTACAGCTACCCGCTTACGAATAATTTTTTGATGATGTCAATTATAGAGTCTACATAGTCCTCAGCCCACTTGCCCAAGATGATAAAATGAGTTTGTGTGAGAGAATTTGTGTCGCTTCTCAATCCTCATTCTCCTTGATCTTTCTGCAGCCTTTGACACTGTTGATTGCCTTTTTCTCCTTGATACTTTCTCCTATGTTTTCAGGATTCTTCTCTCTCCTGCTTCTCCTACCTATCAGTCCATTCCTCAGTCTTCTTTGCTGGATCCTCATCCATTTCGTGCCTATTAACTATAGGTGTCCCACAGGGCTCTGTCCTGGGCCCTCCTCTCTTCTCCTATTATATTGCTTCAGTTGGTTATCTGATCAAATGCCATGGATTTAATTACCATCCCGAGCCTCTCTGCTTGACCTCCAGTCTCAAAATTCCAACTGCCTGAGACCTCATGAACCAGATGTCCAACAGACATCTTCAATTTAACATTCAAATTGCATCTAAAATGGAAAACCTTTCCCAGTCCCTCTTAATGCTAATGCTTTCTCTCTGTTGACTATTTCTAATTTATCTTGTAGGTAAATTGTTTACACATATTTGTTTTGCATCCTGAAGGGCAGAGATTATTTATTGACTCTCTTTGTATCCCCAGCACCTAGCACAGTACCTGGCACACAGTAGGCACTTAATAAATGCTTACTGACTGACTGACTGATAATTCACAGGGAAGTTCCTAGGGCTGAGGAATAGTGGGATCTATCCTCAATCCTTCTCTACCTTCCCCATCTCCAGATGCTAGAATCTCTGTTCCCCTGTGATGAGTGGGTAAGTATGCTCCTTAGGTACAACCCCATCCCCACAGTCTGAGTCAATACTGGCAATGTTTAAGGGGAAAGGGAAAGAGAATGATTTGCTTTACCTGACACTCGAATGACAAAGCTGTAGGTCACCTCTTTTCCCTGCAGGTTCCTCAGCATCACAGTGTAGAGACCACCATCTGAGAGGCTGGCCACCGGAATTAGAAGTTGAGTGAGGCCATCCTTGATGGTGGTGACTGTCCTCTTGGACAGGGGCAGCCCGTCTTTCAGCCAAATCACCTCTGGCAAGGGGTAAGCCTGTGGACAAGTCCCCACAAACCCACTCTTTGGATTAGTAACTCAGCTTGACTTTGACTGGCTCCCCTGGACAGCCCCATCTCTGCTCCTTTCCCATCACTGTGCTCAGCTGTGCCCACTGTGCCTTCTGTGGATGCTTCCAGCTCCCTGTGTGATCTTGGGCACAATATCACAATCCCCTTGGGGTAAGGCAAGTAGAATCACCCTGCCCATTTAGAGGCAAGCTTTAAAAGTATCTAGGATAGAAAGGAAGGATAAATCTCTCTAGAGAACTGATCATCTGATCATCTTACTCATTCATAACCTTATTTGTATGCGTGCGTGCACACACACACACACACATACACACACATATCTCCAGACACAAGCCTAGCTCATGGGTCAGAGACTTTAGAATGGGAAGGGAGTTTAGAGTATTATCCCTTCATTTTACAGCCTGGAAAATTTTCATGTATGTTTCAAGAACGGGGTATACATATCTCCTCAAAGAAATTCAGGCATGGTAGTTACTCTCCATCTATTGTCCTCATTCTACCATTCC